GACAGAAAGGGATGGGACAGGAAGGGGTGGAGCAGGAAGGGGTGGGTCAGTGAAAGGCAGAGCTTAGACCTAGAGTCCTTCTCTGTTGTAGGTCCTGATGGTTCACATCTCTAACAACCACTGTCCGGTCCTACAGTCTAGTCCCCAGCATTCTTATCAATGGGCTCATCCAACGAAAGAGATGCCTCTTCCCCCATTTCTAGTCTTTTTCCTCAGTGACAGATAGGTATTTCAGGAACAAATAGATAGATCTGATTGAGAAGAATTCTATTTCCTCAGCCAAAGTGAATTTTAAATGGAAAAGGACTAAAGGCATTAACTTTTCATTTCCTATTTCACATGTGCTTAACTTTTGACTATGTCAACATGCTCTGATTCTTTTCATGAAGGTTTACCCTCCCTGTCTGGGGAAAGGCACTGGGTGACCCCATGAGGCTGGCCCCATCCTGAGCCAGGGTCAAAGCTCTACAGTGTCCACTGCTGAAGGAAGCATGAAAGAAATGAAGAATCTCATGAGACTGTATAGTTTTCTAAAGCCTGATTTTGGTTTCCTAAAGCACAGCCTTCTTTTACTCAAATTTCTCTCTGCTGAACTTCAGGATATTTAAGAGCAGTACAATTTGCATTTAGAAAATGACTTTCTTTTCTGAAAAATAAAAAAGGCAATCTTTTTTAGAATAGTAATTTCTTAAATTCTAAATCTCAGCTTCTCATCCTGAAATGAAACAAACAAGTCTGCATTCCACCAAGAGCAAATATCAAGAGTAATGATTTCCAATGATATGACAAATTTACTTTAACTTGCCATTTGCTTCTTTTATGGACTGATAAGCCACAGTAGTTTAGAAAATAGTCTCCTAGGAAGAGAGTTTTATTTTATATTCTATCTTCTATATATAATACTAAAATATAAAATACTAAAATATTATGGGAAGAACCTCAAAAATACAAGCTCATCTTAAAATGATCAAGCAAAGAACAGGGAAGTCTCAGTATTGGGAAAAAAATCAATGTTATTGTCTAGGATATTTTTAAAATTACAGTCTTAAGTTTAAAGAAATAGCATCCATAGCTCTGACTGTCTAACTAAAGATTTAGGGTGGGGATAAGTGACTTTGTTCAAATCGTTTGACCATCTATTTTGTCCCATGTTAATCTGTTTTTTTTTTTTTGATGTTGTTGAAATCACAAAATACCTGATTCTTGGTACTTCATACAGAAAAAAAAGACTACTGTCAAACAGATGGGAAGTGCCACCTATTTGTCCTTTGGTGATGGCCTCATGACAGATGGTCAGTGGAAGTGGTAACATGGAGAGACAAGAAGCCAGAAGGATTCAGAGACCAGGATTACTGTTTGTGTAAAACAATCTCAAGGGAACGATCCAGGGGCCCTGCTGGAGGCATGTCCTGCGAATCCAAGTTCCCAAGGAGGCTTCACCGCTTAAAAAGGCCAGCTCCTCTCCATCACCACAGAGTTTCCAGCCTGTGAAATGCTGGGGAATAAATCACATCCAAACTACAGCAAGGCCTCAGGAAAGGATGATGGGAAAAGAGGGGAGGGGAAGAAAACATTTTAGTTCAAAGGCAAATAAAAATGCCAATCAAGTGGAGAGCACTCAGTAAATGTCAAGAAACAAGGTGAAGGAACCACGGGAAGAGTAAGAGCTACTATGTCAAATGGTTGTTTGATTGTTGCTGTGTGTGTGTGTGTGTGTGCATGCACGCACACACTGGTCCTAGGGCTTGAACTCAAGGCTTGGGTGCTGTCACTGAGCATTTTTCCTCATGGCTAGCACTCTAGCACTTGAGCCACAGCTCCACCTCTGGCTTTCTGGTAGTTAACTAGACATGAGAGTCCCATGGTCTTGCTTGCCTGGGGCTGGCTTCTAAGATCTTAGCATCCTGAGTAGCTAGGATTACAAGTGTGAGCCATGGGTACCTGGCTTGTTGTATGTTGTTGTAAGCACAGCTCTGTTAAGCATTTCATATCACATAACTCTGTATGTTTTCTTTATGTGGTAGAATGGGGATGATCTGGACCAGTTAGTGATTCCTTTCTCAGATTTCCTCCTTCCTACTCAACAGGATGAACGTGGCAGAGGTATTATGCCAGGGCTAATGTTGGGGCATTACTTCTGAAGGGCAGAAGCCGTAATCTGGTCGTTTGCCCTTTCCCCTCTGGCTCACTGTTCTCAGTCAACAAATGCTACCAGGACAAAGATGTTCAAAGGCAGAAGCAAGCTAGGAAGCAGTTTCTTTAATGTAAATGAAGATCTAGGGGTCACTGCACAAACCAAGAATGGAAATGAACTCATATACTAACAGGTGAAACCTTCAATCATGATGTAGACACATGTGACTAAAGTGTCCCTGGGAGAAAAATGAAAGGCCTTGAAATTATACATCCCTTGAGTCTTTAATTCACAAATTCATTTCTCCCATTTTCAGGCCTGTTTTCTTCCTCTCCCAGTCAACCCTGTATATGGAGGTGAAATGATCATACATGCATTCAAATAAGGAAGGAAGACCTGTCTTTCCTTCTGTGGAAAGGAAGAAGTTGAGTGAATTAAAGAAGTTAAAGTGGGGCTGGGAAGGTGGCTCAGTGGTAGAGCACTTGCCTTGCATGCATGAGGCCCTGGGTTCGATTCCTCAGCACCACATAAGCAAAAAGAAAAAAGCCGGAAATGGCACTGTGGCTCAAGTGGTAGAGTGCTAGCCTTGAGCTGAAGAGCTGAGGAACAGCGCCCAGGCCCAGAGTTCAGGACCCACAACCGGACCCCCCACACACACACCAAAAAAAAAAAGGAGTTAAAGTTTCATTCGCTATTGAAGGTTTTGCTTTGTCACTCACAGGATAAAGAAAGGAGCGAAGTCACTCACCCTGCCTGTGTCTCTGCTGAAGAAACCTGACTTGGTGACAATGAATTCTTTCTAAAGTAGATGTCTTATTTTATTTCATTATTTTTTGCTTCCTGAGCTGTAGTGAGCTCTAGCCGGCATCATTAGGTCACTAGCAAGGGCGGAGTTTGTCTGTGGGTGAATAGAGAATGGGCGAGGTTCACCTTGCCCTGATCTCACTTGGCTCTATGTCCCACTCCAGACCTCAAACTCAGCCACAGGACTGACAAAGGGGCCTGTGACAGACAGTGGCTGAGCTCTCCATCCATCATGCTGAATATATGTACATCATGGCTGTGCCCTACATCCTGAAGGCAAACCTCAAGGCACAGCATGCTACTAGCAGTTCATGGAGAATGTCATCTGAGGAGCTGCCCAGGTCCTCCCGGACTCTCCTGTACAACTGACAAAGAGGCACCGCTGTTGTAGACATTTGTTAGGAAAGATGACAGATGCTCTGAAGGTGGGGGACTACCTACAGTACATGGAAATACCTTCAACAAACAAATCAGGCCGCAAAAATCAGAAATGCCTACAGGGTTTCTTTTTTGCTTTGGAAGAGTTATATTCTTGTGGAAAGACGTTTCTGTAGGATAACAGAATTTAAGAAGTCATAAAATGGATGCTACAATATGGTCGTTTGGAGACCTATAAATTTGGCTTATGGTAGAGACTGTCCAGAGAAATTATGTAACAAGTTTATTATTTCGTGACCTGGAGGAAACACAAAATTCTCAGTGCATTCCCCTCTCTCCGGTGAGTGCGTGCAGGAACGCATGGGGCTGATCCTCTGTTGCACTCTGAGCACAGAGGTTTGTGCACCCACAGATGTCCTGAAGAGTGGAGGCTGAAAACATCGTTATGCATATTCATGAGACCGTTATTATTAATATCACTGAGGTGATTTTGGTCATTCTCAGCAGAGACTCATTTTCATACCTAGAAACTAATCAACCACAGGAGAAATGGCAACTTGAGCCAGCCTACCTAAAGCAATTCTGGACATTTAAGCTTTGAAATACAGATGACTTGCCTAGGCATTTTAAATAAACGCTTTCTGACCTCCAAAGTGGCATGTGCTTCATCCAGTAGATTATTTCCAAAACAAAATGTCCTTGGGAGCAGAGGCCCTAGAGAACACTATTTTGATTATTACTTCCTTTCCGAAGAGTAAAAATTAAACATGTCATAAAGATGATTCTAAGATGATTCTCAATAGACTTCCTTCTCGGAGATGGTTTTGCAAAATGCTTTAGGAAAGAATTACCATTTATTTAGCACTTTTATTATTTTAAAAATATTTAACACAACGGTCCATTGAAGACTCATTTCTAAAAAAGCATAGACTCTGGCAGTCACATGGTGAATTAATAAAAAACACAATAAAAGTAGCAAGTGATGTAAGCTGGCTATATCTCTACATGCATGTTACGGATTCTCCCCGATGCAACTAGACTACAGGCTGTTAATTGTTTTCAAATGATCTTTAAGTAGTTAGGGTTTCACTTCAACACGTCAGTGTAAGAGTACAATGCGACTCGATCAATGTCACCCCTCGCATCAGTCTCCCTCACCTCTCCTAACCCAACCCATCCCTTCAATCGACCTGATTCCAGTTCAGTCATGTGAATTCCACTCTGCATTCATTGAATACTATGGTGATACTTGCCCACGTTCCTTTCTCCATTCATCTGCCTTCCTTCCCTCCTCTTGACCTTACTCCATCCCTGACATGTTTCTGCTTCCTCCACATGACTATTTTCCCTGTGTGACAGCACACCAAATTACTATGAACTATTCTATTCAATTAAAGGAAGTGGCTTTGGGGGCTGGAATTTTTCTTCTTGCCCTAGACCAAAGAAATCAGGTTAAATACGTAGGCACTGGTGAAGGTATAGGGTAGTAGTAGATACCTATAGCTCATCAATATGTAATTAGAAATGTTTATACCCGATAACTCCATGAATATCAGAGTTGAGTTAACAAACACAGCATTAACATTTGCAGAACAGTGTGATCTTCTAGAGCACCACAATTAAAGAGTCCTAGGAAGGAATGAGGGGGAGGGGCAGGGAGGAGGCCCTGGGGCCACAGACTGACCTTAGGCACCCAGTGGCATTGCGCAGCACCTGTGATGAATGCAGCTGTATTTTCCGATCATCCTGAAGAGGGGAATTCTCCCAGCCAGAGTGCGGGATGATCACCGCATTGGTCAACACTGCCAGGGCATCCTGGATGATTGGCATTTTGAGGGCATCACAGGATGAGAGGTTCCAGAGGACTCCTGCAAGAGACACACAAGGAGACTGTTGGATGGCCACCGGTTCTTTTCCATCTCCAATTATTTGCCCTTACTGGAGCTAAGGCACCAGCAGAATGGAGTGAGACCATGTGGGAGAGGGAGTCCCACTGCTTTCACTTTAGAACTTCTGTAGCATATGACCGAGCTATGAAAGTCTAATCAGTAAGCAGAGGAACTGTGCCATGATCATCAATTCTCTACATTGTAACCACAGTGGAGAATTCATTGAAGTTGCTTACCAGGTTTCATGGTGTGTGTGTGTGTGTGTGTGTGTGTGTGTGTGTACACGCTCGCGTGCGCACATGCATGTGTGTGCTGGTAGTGAGGCTTGAACTCATGGCCTCACACTTTCACCTGACTTTTTCATTCAAGGTGGACACTCTTCTACTTGAACCGTACCTAGTCTGCTATCTTTTTTGCTGGTTAATTGGAGGTAAGTGTCTCGCATGCTTTTCTGTCCTGGTTGACTTCAAACTGTGATTCTCAGACTTCAGCCTCTTGAATAGCAAGGATTACAGGTATGAGCCACTGCAGCGTGGCTAAATTTCTGTTCCTTTAAGACACTATTCAGTATTAAAACAATATGCCCGAATTCTAGCCAAGATCAGTCTACCTGTGTGGGCTTTGCCTCCACTTGTCTTCTGTTCACAAACGACCCTTATGAGACACCAGCATCAGACCTGATAACAAAGGCTCCTGAAGCAACTTGAACACTGACACTGTTTCTCTGAAAGTAATGCTCATGGAAGACCTACAGAATGCTCTCCCTTGAGGGATCACAAAGGGAACAGAACAGTGTGGAAGGCACCCTTGCAATGGATGAGGGGTGACAGTAATTTGTATAGACAGAGCAAAAGCAAACATTTTGGTATACATTTTCTAAACAAGTCTAACTCTAGAAAAGGTCATGGTACTTACTGCAGGTATACTATGTTGTCATTTGAAAATGCTTGTAAAGTAATTGTTATGAGTTCCCTTCTTGAAAGCCTCTGAATTCTTTCCACATAAAGAAGGACTATACACAGAAACTAGGAATAGAGGTGTCTGTTTAGCTTCAGAAAACTGACTTCTAGCTTATTTAACAAGCTTTCGATCTATTTTAACCAACTGAAATTTTATTTATTGTATGATAAATAAAATGTGTGGAGCAGACTCGCTTAATTTTTTAACTAGTTCCCTATCTTGCACATGGTAAACTAAACAAAGACATTCATAATACAATTCGGATTGCTAATGACAATAAATATCTAACAGGGTGGCTATAAAGTTCTATAAAATGTGACTTTGGAGATAAACTCTTTCAACTATCTTTTGGAGGAACATTTACAGAGAATTTTATTTGAGTGCAATAAACGTATAAATGACAGTGCCTAGCATATATAAAAGTAGCCTTTCATGCAGAGAGTTAACTTGAGAGTAAATCTAGCCTATTTGTTTTTACAGATAAAGCTTTATTGGAACACAGCCATGCCTGGTCATTCATATATTTTCTATGTCTGCTTTTGTCTATAAAGAAATATCTGATTGTTTGCGATAGTCTATATGCTCCAAAAAGTCTAAACCATTTGCTATCTGGTCCTTGACAGAAGCTTACCCAGCCCTCAGTACTGACCATTTTCCATGTACTTTGTGTACATGCTTGCATTTAGAACTCTAAAATGAATGAACAAATATACTCATTGGCACAATAAGGTGTTCAAAGTATATTCTGATTTGGATTGACCTACAACAATAGGAAAATTAAAACTATATTTATCTGCCAGGTGCTCATCGCTTCTGTCTATAATCCTACCTACATAGGAGGCTGAAGTCTGAGGATGGTGGTTCAAAGCCAGCTCTGACAGGAAGCATGTGAGACTTTTAATGCCAATTATGATTGGTGATATGATTAAGGTGGTAAAGTGCCAGTCTTGAGTGGACTATGTTAACAAGAACCATGAGACTCTGAGTTCAAGCCTTAGTATCAGTACATACACACTAGAGATAGATTTTATCTTCTTAAAAATGAGATATGAAAGTGTTAAGTGTTTATCTTGGAAGATGTGTCACTAAGTTTGTGTGTGTGGGGGGGGGGGGGAGATGCTAATCCTGGGGATTGAATTCAGAGCCTGGGTGCTGTCGCTGAGCTATTGCTCAAAGCTAGGGATCTACCACTTGAGATACAGCCCCACCTACAGATTCCTGGTAACTAATTGGAGATGAGAATCTCATGAACTTTCCTGCCTGGGATGGCTTTAAACTGTGATCCTCAGATTGCAGACTCCAGAGTAGCTAGGATTGCAGGTATGTGTCATAGGTGCCAGGTTACTTTACTGATTTTTTTTTAATCATTTAAATGATCAAAACAGTTACCTTCATTCATTTGAGTTACATAAAAATATTATTTGGTATAGTAAAAATAATTGATCTTTCAGTTTAAAAAACACATAATAAATAAAGTAGGCCTGGTTTTTTTTTAAAAATTATTTTAAGGAGTTGTACAAAGGGGTTACAATTGTATAAGTCACATTGTAAGTACAATGCCGCTGGAGCAATGTCACTCTTTGCCTCATTTTCCCATCTTCCCCTTCCATCCCTGCCCACAAGTTACATAGTCCATTTTAACATTGTGTGTACTGAATACAATAAAAAGGTAGTAAGTTAAGATAGCAAATTTTATATTAAAAAAGCAGTTTCTACCTTGCATCAGGATAGCTTTGAAGAATATCACGTCAATGTATTTCTGTGTGTTCTTCTGAGTATTCCATACAGAAACAAAACATGTTTTTTTCATTTTCAAATCCTGATTTTCCATATTCAAATGCTGATTAGAAAATACTAGTATATGAAAACTGATGTTTGAAAATCACTGTTTTAAAATGTGAGTACTATGCTTTGGTGAAAGACGCCTAAGTTGTAAAGGTATCCTTATACATACAATTCCCTTAAAGAATCTGAAGTTAGTCTATGATAATAAAACATTTTTTTGTTGTTCTCTATGAGCAGAAAAGACGGTGAGAAAGGAAGAGATGAAAATCAAAGAAAAACAAAAGGATGAATCTGCCACTGGACAGGTGGTGAGAGGAGGAAAGAAGACTCTTCACCGGATGTCTGCCTCCCTTGCTCTCCCACAACTCCTATTAATAGGAGTTAATTAGCTAATAGAGTTAATATAGTTAATTAACTATATGGTTTTTGCCTCATCATTCAGAGCATGGAGAGAAGCTTTTGAGTTCACATTCATTCATTGATTCTGTGTGTGTGTGTGTGTGTGTGTGTGTGTGTGTGTAACATTTTAATGAACGTACCACCTGTGACCATATCTCTGGGTCCTCCCTTTCAATGCACCTGTAGCCCAACATAGCTCCGTTTCCAGAGCTGTTGGAACTGCAGTGACAATGTTCTTATCTCCTGATGAAGAGTTGGCGAAGTGGCTATGACATGGTGGAATGCTTTTTAGAGCAATTTGGCAAATCATATGAGGGAAAAAACTCAGAGTTTGAGTCTGGGGGGAAGGGGACTGGGGATGTGACTTAGTGGTAGAATGCTTGCCTAGCATGCATGAAACCCTGGGTTTGATTCCTCAGTACCACATACACAGAAAAAGCCAGAAGTGGCACTGTGGCTCAAGTGGTAGAGTGCTAGCCTTGAGCAAAAGAAGCTCAGGGACAGTGCCCAGACCCTGAGTTCAAGTCCCAGGACTGGCAAAAAAAAGTTAGTCTGGGGAGATTATTTGCATACAAAGACAGTCTTGAAGTAGAGTCAGTAGAGAAACAGCTGGGAACTCTGCATCTTTTCTCTCTCTCTCTGTGTCTCTCTGTCTGTCTCTGTCTCTCTCTGTCTGTCTGTCTGTCTCTCTCTCTCACACACACAAACATGTGTGGCCCACAGAGCTGCACCCCTGCTGGAGACTGGAGCAGGGATGTGTTTCCTTCTCTTGACAAACTTTTGGTGACTGGCTGCACTCCTGGGCTTGAGGTCTGGCAGCCATCCGAGCTTGACTACTAGGCCACGTTTCCTGAAATTCTGCTCTCCTCCCCAGCATTCTTGGGATTATACTGAACCCCAATCAAGCCAACCCTACAAAGATTCCTGAAGCCTAATCCCACCTAGTCCCACCATTGAGGATAACATGTGGAGGCTCTGGGAATTAGGACCTGGAAATTACCTTAAAATATGATTATGATCATTTCCCCCCTGAATTGCAGATTCCCTTATCCATTTAGTTATTCTCTCCAACATACTAAAGACCTACTATGCCCCAGGAGTAGATCTATCAGTCCATCATCTGGCACATCCATTTCAAGAGCTCTAGTCACACTTGTTACAGGGGCCTTCATTCCTCAACTCGGCCCCGCAGCTTGTTTGCACACAGGCCCTTCCCTCTTGTTGGAGCCTCAATCGGAAGCACTCTCCCCAGACCTTCCCATGGTTAATCCTTCTGTCATCCACATGGCTCTTTAACTGCTAAACTCAGAAAAGCTTTTCCCACACACTGGATGTCAGCTTTCCCATTTGAATTTTCAGCAGAGACCTTTATCTCCAACTCAGGTTGTCCACTACTGGTTGATTCTTTTTGTCACTACACATTGCTCCTTCCCGCTGCAGGGCTGCAGCATGGAGAGGGCAGTGGACCCATGTCCGTGTGCTCACGGCACACAGAAAAACTCAGCACACAGCACCTGCTGCTTACAGAATATTCTCTGATTCTCCACGTTGGTGCTGCATTAAAACAGGAATTAACTTTGTGGTGGAATGCCACAATCTCCAAGCATGGAGCATTTTCTGTGTTACAGGGAAGTGAGAGGGTATAATGACTTGACAGAATAAATAGAAGATGCACAATGTCCTCTTACAAATGACAAACCCAAGTAAGAATGTAAAAATGCTACTTCACTGGTATGTTATACCTTTAATCTACACAAATTCTACTTGTAGCTAAGGTGGAAAAGGGACACTGCTGAGAAACATTCATCAATTTACCATTAGACAGTTGATCTCTA